GCCACCTTAGGTGTATGTGGCTGGCGCCTCAGCCACTTGAGCTACAGGCGCCTAGCCTATAACCATTATTCTAAAATTAGTCCCTTTGTTATGACTTAGCTGAATTTGAGAATAATTATCTTGCTTCTGAGAATGATATTCTTTTTTACTTAGAGAAAGTCACTTGTAATACTCTTCAAAAATAGGTATTACTAAATATTGAATAAATTGATTGCTATTTTTTGTTTCTTCACTCATAATTTGGAAGATTAAATACTTATAGAGTATTTCTATGGCATTTTCTTTTCCATTGCAGGTCTTTTTTATTGAACAACACAACTTTTTATTTATATAGTACTTCAGAATGTTCAAAGCAGTTTTACCTACATTTTATCATAGGACTACTCTATGTACTAGCAATCATCATGAAATTTCTTTTCTTTTTTTTTTTTTTAAGAGACAGAGTCTCATTTTATTGCCCTTGGTAGAGTGCTGTGGCATCACACAGCTCACAGCAACCTCCAACTCCTGGGCTTAGGTGATTCTCTTGCCTCAGCCTCCTAAGTAGCTGGGAGTACAGGCGCCTGCAAGAACGCCCGGCTATGTTTTTGTTGCAGTTTGGCCAGGGCCAGGTTTGAACCTGCCACCCTCGGTATATGGGGCCGGTGCCCTACTCACTGAGCCACAGGCGCCACCCATCATCATGAAATTTCTTATTCTCATAATCTCAGAAATCCTATAGTCATTTTAATTATCCCTACTAAAGACAGATAAAATGAAAACTCAGATAACACAAGATTCTATTTTATATGTGCTATATACTATCAAAACATCATCAGCACTTACTTGTTCTTTTTTAATAAAATCTCCTTCCTAATCCTTACCTTGAACTGTTAGAGAGAACTCTCAATTTATAAATTTACATCAAGCTAAAATACCTTTAAAATAACATTTCTAAAATAATAATGGTTTAACAAATAGCATTTCTATAATGAATAATATTAACTATTTGTAGAGTTTTCTGGTGAATAATACACATATTTAAGTACTTCTTATAAAATTCAGAAGTAAGAGTTTCTATGAGGACTACCTGGAACTTGGAATACATTTTCCCATAGAAATCACATCATACTGGCTGGGTTAGCTCCTAAAGCAGACTCTAACCATCTGTACCTTAAGTGCAGGACTAATAGTAATATAGAACCCAACTACCATATCTACTATTTCCAAAGGAAAAAGTTTCAAATTCCAAACTGGAATCCCAGAGCATATTTCTACATCTCCCAGCTGCAGTCTTTCCAAATTTCAACTTCCCAGAAGCTTTTGAGTATTTAGCAGTTTGGGAAAAGGAAAGGGAAACGTCTACTGGTGAAAGGGGGGATGCAGGGGAAGTGTCCAACTGGGCTACAGAATGTAAAGCACGAGTAAGGAAGATAGACCTTGCGTCTCTATACATACATACATACATACGTTCTCTGCAGACATGGAATGCAGCCAACAATCATAATTTAGATAGCAATGTCTAACGTGTTTACTAGGATGACAGATTAAACACACAGTAATAAAAATGTGATCCTAATAGTTGCTACATAATTTACAAACATCAAATTAGCCAACTTCTAGTTTTAAAGATCACAGATATTTTTGCTCTTCAAAGAAGTAACTGCAAATCTGCAAAAAATACCAGACCTCAGCCATTTTCTACATAAGATGATAAAACTTTTTTCAATTTCTTTTTTTTTTTCTTGAGACAGAGCCTCCAGCTATCCCCCTGGGTAGAGTGCATCACAGCTCACAGCAACCTCCCACTCCTGGGCTCAAGCGAGTCTCCTGCCTCAGCCTCCCAAGTAGCTGGGACTACAGGCGCCCACCACAACACCTGGCCATTTTTTGGTTGCAGCCATCGTTGTTGTTTGGCGGGCCTGGGCTGGGGATTCAAACCCGCCACCTTAGGTGTATGTGGCTGGCGCCTTAGCCACTTGAGCCACAGGCACCGAGCCCATTTTTCAATTTCTAATAGGCAAAATGATTAGAAATGCTAAATCATTCTTGCTCGTATAATTTCCTCCCCCTTTTCCTCTCAACTCCATCACCAAGAAGTTAGCAATTCTAAAAATTCTATGAAATCCAATATAATTTGAACTCTAGTTCTACACATTTTGAGAAAATAAAGCTATCCCTTTTACTGCTACATTTAGGGAAGATGCAATGAGCCAACAATAAAAGTATATTTTTGGAAGTTAACAGTTAGAAAAAAGTGAGTACTATTATAAATGTAACAGTCACCAGATTTATATTTTTTAAATGGCAACAAATAATTTAATTCCCCTTTCTAATTTACATTCTTTCCACTTATTTTAGCTTTTGGTTTACTATTGCTGAGGAGAAGTGGTCTAACAAAATACCTCCAGAGATTGCTTCCAAATTTACATAACTGAGAAAATTTAAGATTTGTTCTGTGATGTATGGATTCGGTTAGGGGGCCCCACTTGTGGATCTGAAGGGCAACATGTGACCCCAAGTCCACAAGCTCTCCACCACTAATTCTTAATTCATAGGGCCAAGGAAATGTCCCCTTTCTTCTCTCTCTGGTCTTTTCTGAAAGCTTTGACCCTTGTCTTGTTTCTATTGCCCCATTTCATCACTCTGAGTAAAAAGTCTACTACATGATGAAATACATGGCGCTGCTATGGTATTTCTGTGAAATATAACAAAAAATACATTTTCATGAAATGGTAAGACTATTACCTTGCAAAAAGATACACTTTTTTTTTTTTTTTGAGACAGAGTCTATGTCACCCTCAGTAGAGTGCCTTGGCGTCACAGCTCACAGCAACCTCAAACTCTTCGGGCTTAAGTGATTCTCTTGCCTCAATCTACCACGTAGCTGGGACTACAGGTGCCCGCCACAAAGCCCAGTTATTTTTTGTTGCAGTTGTCATTGTTTAGCAGGCCTGGGCAGGATTCAAACCTGCCAGCCTCAGCGTATGTGGCTGGCGCCATAACTACTGTGCTAGGGGCACTGAGCCCACACGTTTAAAAAAAAAAAACCCACAGGGTAGTGTATGGTGGCTCACACCTATTAGCACTCTGGGAGGCTGAGGTGGGTAGACGACTTGAGCTGAGGCATTCCAAGACCAGCCTGAGCTAGAGTGACACCCTGTCTCTACTAAAATAAAACAACTAGCCAGGCATGGTGGTAGGTACCTATAATCTCAGCTACTGGGGAGGCTGAGGCAAAGGGATCCCTTGAGCCCAATAGTTTGAGGTTGCTGTGAACTTTTGATGCCACCACACTCTACTCAGGGCAATAGTGTGAGATTCTGTCTCAAAAACAAAAACAAAAACCACCCCCATGCAACTTTTTTCCCAAGAAGCAAAAACACACGGCCACTATAAGGAGTCCCAGCTAGTAACCTGAGATCTACCAACATGTCCTCAGTGCCCTTGGTTGAGTTCCAGGTCAGTGTCACTGCAGGTAATCCATTGTTCACATTTTTTACTAAAGAATTTAATGTAGTTTTCAGAGAATATGCTTTTTTATTAAACTTCATTCCTGAGATACTTAAGTGATTTAATTATGAGATAATCTCACCTATAAAATTAAAAAATTAATATAATATATAAATATTTTAAAAACAAAACAAAAACTATTGCAACAAGGGTGAAGTTAAAACAAGGTTCTGGGGTACTAAGTCTTAATTTCATAACTAGGACACATTTTGAGGATGCAAAAATTTCACCAAAAACCTACACCTTTATACACCAATAGAATTTTCACAACCCTTAAGAACACAATGAAATTTTATTTATTTGCTAAAAATATGTCCTGCTAAGAAATCTTTGACATTTCTTACATGCATACTCCTATTTGTGTTTAAACACACAGAGATTAAAATGCATTTAAAAATATAAATGCTCATTGTAAACTACCTTAATAGAAGCCAGTGAACTTTCTCATACCTGTTGGATAGTAGGCTTGGGAGTACTGCGCTGAGGGTGTGTAGTTACTATATTTTTGGGAGGAGCTGACCATTGTTTGAGGACCTTGCTGAACGTGTACAGATGTGGCGCTGGGCTGCAGCGTATAGGTAACCTCAGTTGGAAACCGCTGCAGTACAGGAAATGGAACCCCTTTATCTGAAAAAGTGGGAGACGTCTCCACTTGTCCAGGGTGCATTCCAAGGGAGTTCTGCCATGTTCTAGGAGGAATCGGGGTCCGATCTAAACCTTTCAGAGGGAAAGTACTGTGGTTGTGGGATGAAGTTGATACGTAGGAGTAAGGAGACAAACTATCTCGCCGGAATGACCGGTGAAATTGTCCTACAGCCACTGGTCCTGCATAAAAGAGGAAGAGCACATTTACTAACTTCACATTACACTGCCATAGCAAACCAAAGGTCATAAAACACACTACTCTTCACCTATCAGCCATTTTTAACGCAAGAGAGGTTTAGCTTTGGTAAAAAATTCAGAATCCAGAATATGAGATTGCTGGATTCTGTAATGGATTCTGGATTCTCATGTAATGCTAAAAGAACAATCAAATAAACTTTTGTTTGGCTCTCCATATAACTGTCTTAAGAGATGAAGTGCTTAAACCGTAACATTAAATCAAGTGTTAAATCACATATTCAATGTTAAAAGCCTTTTTAATAGATGATTCAGCCATCTTACCTTTTACCTTAATTGACTGACCCGGATTTTTCCAGTATGTACGATACTCTAGAAATCTTCCTTTCTTTCAAACCATTTAGAAACATCAATAATAGGCCTGAAAATTGGCATTCCACCATAAAATAAATTAAGTGCGGAACATATAAGAATTATAACACAAACCAAAAAGAAATATAATAGTCTTTGCTCCCTTTCAATTTTTTAAAAAAATGATAATTTTGTAGAAAAATCAGGCTTAAAAAGTTGACTTAGTTCTCTTTTTCATTCCTTAAAATAATCAGTCATTTTCTGTGGTCTTTTTTATCTTATCTTCCCAGATATTAGTGGCTCTCAAACTTTGCTGTTTATATGATTTGAATTACTTCAGGGGGTTGTTAAAAATCCACATATCCAGGCCCAGACATTGTGATACTTGGTTTTTTTATCTAGCAAGGTAGAAAGAAATAAAAAGTGGAGATAAAGAAGAGCAAGAAAGGGCAATAGTATGTAATGAGGAAAGGAAAAATAGAAATATTGCAGGACTTATTTTATAATGATTCTTGAACACAAACAAAGCTACCCTAATTTATTTCTAAAGAGAGTTTTATAGATTAAATTGGGCCATGCACAATGGCTCATGTCTGTAATCCCAGCATTTTAAGGCTCCGAAGTGGGAGGATCACTTGAGCCCAGGAGTGCAAGACCGGCCAGGGTAAGACCCTGTCTCTACAAAAATTAATTTAAAAAATTAGGCAGGCATGGTTGCACACACCTGTAGTCTTAGCTACTTGGGAGGTCAAGGTGGGAAGATTGCCTGAGCCCAGAATTCTAGGCTCCAATGAGCCATGATCCTGCCATTGCATTCCAGCCTGAGTGACAGAGCAAACCCCTGTCTCTGAAAAATAAGTGAACCAATAAACTTAAAAAAAAAATACGATGTGGTTCACAAATTCTTTCCAATTTATTAAACTAATCTGTAAAAAAAAGAAAAACCTACTTTAAACACCGCTGGAATGTTTACACATTGAGAGCCCTCAAATATCTACTTTTCTAAATAATTAGATTATAAACCTATTCCATGTGTTACACATTGCTCATTATTCTATTTCTGTGTTTATTTTCCTTCAAAGAATAAAGCATTAATGCCAAAAGTAAACAAACAAATACATATATAAACTATACAATTCTGGAGTCAGGGAAATCAAGAGCTCTTTAACATAATGGGGGGGGTGGAAAAACCTAGTTCAGAAGATTTGAGTGTATTCAAATGATAGGCCTCTTAAAACTACTTTTCCTTTTTTCCTTTAAAGCACAAAAAATAGTTCCTATGCTACTTGATTTGTAGTTCTATATGTACACACACTTTGAGCTCACTACTGACAATCCTTTGTTTCCTAAAGAAATTTTTCTTTTTTTTGCTCTTCACAACAGGTGTTTCTGAGTGTCAAAAACTATCCTCCTTGGATGCTTCACTTGCCAGAACTACATACTGCCTACCATATGCAATCAGAGCTCACTAGTCCTGCTCTCTTCAATGATAAGCTCTTGCTGAATTTTCAGACTTATATCAAGAATATAAGCAGCTAATTAAAGAATTATGTACCTTGACTCAAATTCTGGTTTATATCTGAATTAAAACATAAATTCTACTTCTCTCACGATAAACTCTGATGGCAAATTATCTTAGATGCTGCTAAAATCAGCACTGTCAGATTAGAAGGGTATTATTTAAAGCTTGCTTTTAAATTAAAGAATTAAATATGTTCAGCTGTTAAGGGTTACCTCATAGGACACTATTCTGACCAACTTTACAAAGCATCATCACCTTATGTCTTCAGAATATCTTTTGGTTTTTGCTTTTTTTAGATAGAGTCTTGCTTTGTCCATCTGGCTAGAATGCTGGAGCATCATCATAGCTCAGAGCAACCTCAAACTTCTGGGTCAAGCCATCATCCAGCCTCGGCCTCCCAAGTAGCTGGGACTACAGACACATGCCACTGTGCCTGGCAAATGGGGGGGGTCTCACTCTTGCTCAGGCTGGTCTTGAACTCCTGACCTCAAATGATCCTCCTGCCTTGCCCTCCAAGAATGCTAGGACTACACCCAAATATGTTCCAAACATCTTTAAGATACATTCAGCAAAGTTTGAATCCAGAATTCTGGAAATGTAGGGCAGGGTAGATTTGTGTCTTTAGAAGTTCTATTCCTTTTATGGAAGCAAACCTGAACTAATCAATTCCCAAGAAAGAACCCCCAAATTTGCCTCTTGAGAGCTTGATACCCCCTCAGGCAAACATAGATTACCTACTTGTCAGTCTTGTTACTTAGTTTAGAATGTTTTAACAAATATGGCAAAATCAACTGCCACCAAGAACAAAATAACAGAAGTCGACCAAACAAAAGGAAAAACAGGTGCTCTTTATACTTCTTATCAACTATATTCTTGGAAGGTGAACAAGACAGTTAACCCACTGGATTTAAATGAGAGACTCAGGTTCTAAAAACAGAGGATTCTATTGTAAAAGAGAAAAACGCATTCAAAACATAAACGGAAGTAAAACAACAGAAAACAAAACGAACTGGCCTAACACTCTGGGAGGCCTAGGTAGGTGGATTATC